TAATTAAGCCACTTTGATCGAGGGATCACCTCTCTCTCAAATGCTGTTCTGTGAAGCAAAACAACCACAGTTCAGTTGGGTAGAATTGCTGTGCCCTTCTAAGTAATGCAAGACAGGTAATAAAGATTACAACATCCGTTTGAACTGCAGGAGGTACAGGCAGAACCCAGGTCCCTGAGAAATATTCAGGATATAATTCCTGTACTCCTTAAGCAGAAAGCCATGAGATCTTCAGTGACAGCAAGCGATCAAGACCTCTGCTTTCCATTTCATGCAGGAGATTTCCTTACAAGAAGCAATGCGATACCAGCACCATACTAGGGCAATAATTCTGGGGTGCCACCTACAGAAAGCCCAGTATCCCTAAGTGGTATGGTAATGGTAACTGGAAGTCTTTCATTAAAATATCAACCTGGTCTGACTCTGCTTGAGAGCTAGTGGAGCTGCAATTGAAACAGGTGTGGCTGCAGACAACTCTAGATAGTTTTTAAACCATATTAATCCATAGGAAAGAACTAAAAATGGTAACAGGGTGGGGAGGGTTAACTGCTGTTGAAAAGCTGGGGGAGGGAACCCTGATATTTACTGAGGGAAAAGATGGGTTAGAAGAGATATAACTGACATTGTTAAAATGTTAAAGGGGTTTGTGAGATCAGACATGGAATCTTTTTGAGCTGATGCTAAATCCCAGGATTTGGAGACCTGAATTTTAGAATAAAGAAACAGCAGCAGAGGAGAGAATTTAAACATGCCATTTTGCATAGAGATTAAGCTAAAACCGATTCCCAAACTAGATAAGTAATTAGAAAGGTGCAAACCCTGCCTCCATCTGCAAAGGTGAGAAGGGAGTTTGCGGAACTGCACAAGTTTGGGGTGGAGAGGCAAGTTTAGGGGCTCTGCAACCAGGGCCGGCTCTGACTTTTTGGCCGCCCCAAGCAAAAAAAACGGGGACGGCCGGAATGGCAAAGTAAAAGAAAAAAAACCTAGCAGCGGCTAGCGGGGGGGAGGTGGTGGGAGCGGGCGGGGGAGAGAGAGAGGAAGGGGGGCGACCAGGGCTACAGTGGGGCGCTGCCACGCGGCCCCTCCCGCCACGCAGCGCCGCCTGCCGGGAGGGCTCCACTCCGGTCGGCGGGGAGGGAAGGATGCGGACTGCCCTGCCAGGCTTGCTGCAGGGTGCTCCCGTCCTCCGCGCCGCCGCCCCCTACAGGGCGGCCGGAGTGGAACAAAAAAAACCGGCCGTGCCGCCCTATGATTGGGCCGAATGCCGCCTGCCGCCCCAAGCACCAGCTTGCTCAGCTGGTGCCTGGAGCCAGCCCTGACTGCAACATGGAGCCACTTAAATGGAAGGCTTTCTGTGCACTGATATATATGGACAGGCCAGAAAATCCACCGCTGTTTGGATCCTCCCTGTCTTTGCCCTCGTTCCTGGGCAAGCCGGAGCTTGCTAGGTCTGCAGAGACTACTTTAGCCATTAGACTGGACAAGGAGCCGCTGAGCAACTCAGAATCCCTCCACCCCATTCTGTGGCGCAGGAGCATTTTCCTTCATTGTTCCCCAGTACCCAGTCTAGTTACTTGGCCTGGGCAAGGGTCTCCCAAGTGCTCATCAAAACAAGAGCCTTTTGGGTGGTGGAAAGCCCTTCCCCAAGCCGGGGAAGATAGAGAAGAAACTCTGCAAGGAGACCTGCAGGGTCTCCCCAACCCTCATCCCCCTGTGGGTGTTTTCATGGGAGGAAATGTTCTGGACCAAGCATACTCATGTCCAGTAATATAACTTCACCGGTAATTGCAGATTGAAAGTTATTCATTTTAGTAACATTGCAGGTGCTACCACAGTCATTTTAGATCATTTTACATTTTTAAATTATTGTATTGATTGTTAGCAATGGGCCAAAACCAGAAGTGGGGGAAGGAAAATGCTACCAGAACTGTTATAACTGATCATTGTATCCATGACCACCGATTCTGTGTTCCTTATTTTCCAAGTGCCCAACTTGAGACCACCTGGGCCCAACTGGTTAAAGTGCTGAGCTGTGTTCTGAACATATCAAGTGCTATAAAAATGGTAATTATTTTGAAAAACCAGCTCCAAGGCAGCAGACACTTTGGCCTTAATCTTTATGCCTATGTGCCTTAGTTTCCCATCTCTAAAATGGAGATAATACCACCTTCTCTCACTGGGTTGTGATGATAAACTCACTTTTTGAAATGTACAGAGGGTATGGTGTTGAGTGCCATAAAGGAGCCCATGAGAAAATTAATAATTCTGCATTTAGTGCACAATTTGGACAGAATGCAGTAGATAAGGCATGGAGCCACACATTGAATGCTATGGTTCAAAAGAAATATGGGGGATGACTGCATGTTTGGCAATAGGATATGGAGTCCGTTATATCTAGATGTACAGTTCAGATGCAGGATGGTGACCTCTGATGGCTGTTTGGCAAGATTATATATTACATAGAATGAACTGGTACTCAGTTCAGTTCATAGAAGTCCACATCACAAAAACCTGTATCTGGCACTAGTCAGAATTTACCACCCACCCAGTCGTCTCACTGGGACCAAGGATCAAATGGGTACAGAGACTGAATTCCCTTCTCAGTCATAGGGTAGTTCCTTGGGTCGGCGCACGTAGGCAGCCTAATAGAAGTTTACCCTACATTTGCCCACAGCTTATCTGTCTGTGAATCTAACATCCATTTTAGGTATTTTCACCATGACATAGA